TCTGCTCTTTTCCTTTGCTACTTTACTATTATGTGTTTCTTTGATTTCATTTCTTTTCTGCTTCTTTCCATTTTTTTGCTTGCCATAAATGGTTCATAAAATTTTATACGCTCGTCCATAAAGGAAACCGTTTGCTCCACTTTCCACTCGCAGCATGCGAATGCAGCTTGCATTGAAAATAAGTTCCAAAGATCTTCAGCGACAACTAAGTAGATATTGAAAGGTCTCTGGAGACAAATAAATGGCAAAATCAACAATTGATGAATGCTAAACTTGCACAGCTTTGAGTTGCATTGCTAAACTCTCTATTACTCAATATGTGCCACAGTCTTAAAGGAAACTGCTCGAATATTATCTATTAAATCTTATACATGTTATATATACATATATATACATGACTAATTGATTGATTAAATATTATGAAATATTAAATATATTAAAAACAGAAGTCAGAAGAGGATATAGGCGAAAAAAAATTATATTTGGGCTCATAAAATCGAGGTAAAATTCAGAATATATTGCTAGTGAATTATGCCTTTATCAGGCATTAGAAATTAACAAAAAACTTCAGACTCAGATCATGAGCTGTGGATGGAAATGGCTGTCGGCGGATATGGTTTGATAAGACTGAAGCTTGACGACGACTAACATAATTTTTAAGCCAAGATATTTTAAACAGACAAGAAGACAATGCTTTCAGCTTCAAAATAAATCTATGCACAGGGTGCTGTGCTCACAGGGTGTCTCAGTTTTCTATCAAACGTATTAAGTGACGGACCTGTGCCTGTAAATTGTGGCAAAACTAAAGCGTTTTCTGCAAGCATTAGTTCAAATAAAACACTGAATCGGATAGATAAATACCACACAGAGATAGAAGTTAAAGCTATGATTTTTGGCAAAGAAAAAAGAGAAACGTTCCCACTGTGCAGGTTCACTTCGTCGTTTCTTTCGGCACAGTTCAAATTCTCGGCTTAGTTCCATCAATTAATGTTGATAATGTTTGCCGGTGATGGTACTTGTTGATAATGTAATCTATGTGACTTGCATTGGGATCTGCTCTGAAGACTTATTCACTTGCCAATATTGTTTGCAGTTAATTGACAGCTGATTCGTTTGGGCCACGTTTCCGCATACAGCTTCCATTTCCATGTGCATTTCGATTTTATGCTTAGAAGCGATCAATTGGAGTGCAAGCAGCGATTGCAATTGTTCGACTGCAAAATGGTTTTCTGGCGAAATCGCTTAGATGCTTGGCTCTGGCCACATATATCCCCATGGCTTGGTATCTTCCGCGTTGCCAAAATCAAATTCGAGGGGCTTATGCAACCAGGGCCAGCAAGCGGCGACAGCCCAAAAACAAAGCTGGCCAAATCGCTATTGGAATCGGTGCGGTGCTTACGTGACCGGCCGAACGACTCAATTCCAGGCAGCAAACAAAAAGCTATAGAAAACTAAAAAAGCTACAAAAACAGTGAAAAGTTACCGGTGCATGGTGCAAGCCGTTGCCATGCCCACAGTCCCCAGCCCGCGCCCCTGGCACTCGCCCACCGATATTCGTTTTCGTATTCGTATTCGTGTTCGTTTTTTACTTTTTGTGTTTTTTCTCATATATTGTATGTGTATCTTATTATCAAGTCGCGCTGAGTTCGCTGGCCGTTCATGAACTACAAACGCCGCTGGCTGCGTTTTACGCTTTGCATTGCATCGCATCGCATCGCATCGCATTGCAATTGGCAATTGGCAATTGGCAGCCGCGGCCTGTCCTCGATGCGGTTGTTGGCTCTTTACGCTTTGCCGTATCACAGGCGAACGCACTGTCCGACTCTGGGTGAAATAGCTGAAAGATAATCGACTTTAAGATACTCTGAGTTGTTGCTTATGAAATGTATCCTCAGATGAATGCAGTAGCCAAAAGATAAGCGACTTTATGATACTCTCAGCTGTTGTAAAGTCGTGTTTGCTTGGTATTTATACTGCAAACAGTAGCTTAACTTAATAATGCTACTTATTAATAATAATATATCTCTAACCTGGGTACTGCATATATATTTTAAAATACATTAAAATTGCTTAAGATTATGAGATAAAATGTGCTTAAGAATGTTTAATTAATCTTAGTAAAAACATCATAAATTGAGCGAGCGAATGTTTGTATTATAAGCCCTAAAGGTATACGTCCGATAAGCAGAAGAAACAGGAAGAATAAATAATTTAAATATATTTAAATTCATTTCCATCATAAATACTAAAAACATATTTATTTGATCTAATATAGTTATAGAGTTTATTTAAATAACTAAACATTTTAAAGGAATTTAAAACTTAGTTTTATGTTTTGCTATTCATGTAAATCTCTCACTGGGGTTTGTGTACTATACTTTTCCAGCTCTTACAATTATCAATATCTTCTGCAAATATTTAAAATAGATAAATAAATAAGATGAATAAATAAGTCAATGATCAAGTCTAGATGATGAAATTTTAAAAATATATATTTTCATATCTATATTGTTAAATTTAAGCTTACCAAAATTTATATATTAATAAAAATAAATTTATTTACCTTTATATATTTATATATTTATATATTTATATATTTATATATTTATATATTTATATATTTATATATTTACATATATTTATATATTTATATATTTATATTTATATATATATATATATTTATATATTTATATATTTATATATTTATATATTAATATACTTTATATTGAAATTCTTATTTTTTAGTATTTTCTAATTTTTTCATTATTTTATTTTAAATAACATTTGAACCCTTAGTCAGTATCTGCATCGATACCCTCATCTGCGATTCGTTTATCTGAATGAGAAAAGATCGCTGCTGTTGTTGCTGCTGCTGCTGCTAGCATATATAAATTTGTATTTAAATTGATTCAAACTACATCTCGTGTTGTATTAATTGCATTACATTTTAATTTGTTTGCAATTGTAAAAAAACTTAAAATTTCCTTCGCAAAACTAATTGCAAATCGATTTGATTTATATTCTGAAAATTTATTTCTAATGCCATATTCAAACTACAATTTAATGAAATGCAAATTAAGTTTTATTTTATTTTCAATTTAAATCAGTGCAATTTAAATTTAGTTTAATTCAATTTTAATTCAATAAATGTCATTAAGCTAAATATAAATATATATATTTTATTATAGATACATATATATATATAAATATATCATGTATGTAAATTGTAGATTTTAATTAAGTTTTTGTTAAATCAATTTAAATCTTAATTTAATTCACTTTTATGTAGATTGATAAAGCTATATATATATAACTGCACTTATATATACATATGTATAAATAAAATTGCTTAATTAAAGTTTAAGGGGAATGTTGTTAAATACTTAAATGCGGAACTTGGTGAACTTCAATTGGAATTAGCTTAATTGCAAAGTTTTCCTCCTTCAATTGTCGCACTTGGCGGAAGCTTGTTGCCAGGTTGCGAACAGGGAAAGCCTGTTGTAGGTGCTATATACACAGAAGGAGTGGAGGCTACACTCACGTCTTGTTTATCATCGTGTTTTACGATGTCTCACTTTTGGATACAGCTCTTCAGAAAATATTCCATTGTAGCGAAACGTTGGCGAAGGCAAAAACAAAACCGAGGCACTTTTCTATACTTGAAGTTATGATGTGATGACAACCATGATGATGATGATGCTGATGACGATGATGAGCATTATGTTGAAGCAACCTCCGAATTTCGAGTGATAGACAAATATTTCTAAGCAGTCAGTACTAAACGCAGTGCGTAATGTAAGCGCGCGCGCGCTCTCTGCCAGCCCCCGTCTCAGAATCTACTCTTGTCGTTTGCATGGGCCGCACTTCAATGTTGGCCACTTGAGTCACCTCTTCGTCGCACTTCACTCAAGATATGCCATGAACGATACCAGAGGCCAGACTGGCATAATAAGAAGCAAGTACAAATTTCATTAGGGCTCAGCATGCATCGTTCATATTCCTCTAAAGATCTTCATGTAAAACAATTTTCAAGTCTAGTTTATACATTTAACTTGTCTGTCAGTTTTACATTCCCCTGTTAACAGTATACAGAATAATCTATAGCTCAGCTAATGTTAAGCAATTCATTTCATTTGGTCTTTCTATTGCAATAATATAATATGTAAAGTAGTGAAAGCAATTCACATTGCCATCCATCTAATCCCTAAACATTACATGGCTTAGATACAAGTTTTAACAACTATTTCTGATTACACACTTATGTTAACCATACATGCTGATGACACTGATCTCATTGTCTTAGATTCTGTTCTTCAGAAATGCTTAGAAGCCTTTATAGATATATATGTATATAACCCTGGCGCAAGCCATGAAATTTTAGTATAAACTCAGGAAAGACAATAGGACAAATAATGCTTTCGATCCTTTATGCCTAGTTTCCTTGACATATATTTATAATTAATTTAAAATAGTATTATTATAAATCCCACAAATACTTAGGTTTAGATACACTACAGCTGAAGCTCCGAATGCAATTTAAAAACGACTAAAGCCAAATGATATTAAAAATATTATTTGTAATGAAAAGTTTTGATTCACATGATATATAGATAAATCGCTATATATATTATTAAATATGAAAAGAGCTGTCAAAAAAAGCTACAATGCTACATAAGCAGAGAGTTATAATCTAAAAAGAATCCCCCAGAATTTCTAACAGTTTGCAAACTTAACACCAATTAAACGCATCATTCGCTGAGCCAGGCATTTGAAGAGCGCCAAACTTGATATTTACAACATGTATAACGCATCAAAGATTGTTTTCTTTATAAATTGACCTCGCTTAGCAATTACGACATTCACTTTTAAGAGTTTATTTTGTTTTTGAAGTGGAAACCAAAGATGTCGCCTTGATTGCAAGCTGTACTTGATGGGGTCTATCTAGACATCTATAAATATTTGGAACAGAACAGAAAAAATGTATAATTTAACGACCTCCGGTGAAGTACAATAGTATGTTTATTACTGTAAAATTTGAACAACTATACGACGTTAAAATTTGAGCATTTTCTGTAAATAGTGACTTGGACGATATTCTGGTTTCACTGTAGGTCTGTCAGACCATGCTGCATTAGGAGTTGACGTATACGCTTGCAGCCGGCGTCGTCGACGTCGAGCATTGCCTCCCCGACGATGTGGGAGATTGTTCTCAGGTCCAGCGTACGCTGCTCCAAGCGCAACTCATTCTCCAGACAAGCCAACACATCGCTACGACCAAAGGGGCGATAGTTGACGATGGTCGTATCCATGGGCAGCTGCTGCAGCAGCTCATATTGCTGCCAATAGTATTGCATCTCTAGATTGAATATGTAGACCACAATAACGCTTTGATTGCCTGCCAAGTGGGCGTCGCCCTCGCGCTCCAGCAGCAGCTTATTGTAGGTGGGCACAAAGCTGTAGTCGCAGGGCGACAGATTATCGATTATCAACAGATTCTGGCCACAGAAGGATAGCTGCTCCACAAAGTTGCGTATCACATTGAACTTGTGTGCACCGTCCGGCACATAGGTGCTCCACGAATAGCTGTGCACGTTCTCCGGCCAGGGAAATTGTTGCCTCAACACCATTGCAGTTAGCGTTTTGCCCACGCCCGGCGGACCAAGCAGTGCAATCGATCTCAATGGTCTATCGCTCCTGATGGCGCGCTCGAGCCGCGCCAGCGCTAGCTCCTGGTTGAGAACCTGTTTGCTTATCTGTCGAAAAATACGCATCGTGTCCAGTTTGTGATTGCAGTGAAAAGCCCGTGGCGAATCTGGGTCCGCGTCCTGGCTGCCAAAACCCTTCGCAGTGCCGCCCAGATATAGGATCCCCGACACGCCCAGCCAGAGGGCATTCAGTGATCTGGAAACGCATGTCTGTAGGTTCATTTGATCATCTGAGTTTCCGTCCATGCTCTGGAACCAGAGCACCACCACCAATGTGGCCATTCCCGTCAGTATCATCAGACCCTGTAGCATATTGCCCTGTTGGCTGCTCTGCAGCTGCTGGCGATATGAGTGGCAGCTCGACTTCCGTAAAATGCCGCGCTTCCGTGGATCTTCAAAGTCGTCGGAGAGATTGGAGCCTTCGGTCCGTGTGTAGGAAAGGCGGGAATGCATTTTTTCTATTCAAAGTTTTAATGCAAAAAAAAATTTCGATACGAAATTAAAAAAAAAAGTATAAACACAATTTAATTTTTTTTGTTTGTTGCTTCCAGAGGCTTGAACTTAATTTTTTATTGGAATATGTTAAAAATTAAATTAAATACTCAGACCTGACAGTTATTTCTGCTGAAAGGTTTGAAATGAGTTTCAAATGCGTAAACAAAACATTTCAAAATTAAAGTTCGTTGTATAAACATAACTGATACCTGAACGTATTTTTTTTTTCAATCAAGCAAATCCAAATGAGAGAAAACGCAAACATACATATTTGATTGTTGTATATATAAGCATATCTTTGCTACAAGTTGGGAATCCTTTGAGAGTCATACGCCACAAAGCAGAATACATGACGCGGACGATGCCATTTGCAGGTCTCAGATTTATATCCTCTTTTCACTTCGTAAACTGCTATAAAAATGATAAAAAACAATTTCTAATCATGTAAAAACTTACGTAGAATAATTAAAAATATGCGCCAGAACTAATTAGATTTGATTTGTGTTTATAGCTAGTCTCAACAGCATTGGTGAGGTGTTTGATCAGTCTTGAGAGCAAGTCTCGTCAGTGTTGTAAGCAGGCTTAATCAGTTTGAAAAGGAACTTTGATCAGCCATGTGAGCAAAATTGATCAGCCTTGATCAGTTTAATCAGTGCTAATAGCAATCGTAAACAGGCTTGCTCAGTCTTGACAGGAAGTCTGGTCAGTCTTGAGAACAAGTTTAATTAGGCTTGGGAGCATGTTTGATCAGACTCGATCAGTCTTGAAAGCAAGCTCAAGCAGTCTTCGGGCAGCTTTATCAGTCAGCAAAGTTTAAAGATGAAAAAGAAATGCTTGACTTAACAATATCCATAACTGAATTTATATAAAAATAAAGAAAAGTTACAAATAAGGTAAAACGGGCAAAGCGAGCTATATATAATTATTTATTGTATATAATTAAGAGTCCCTAATCCATTTCAGTTATATAAATATATGCGTGTGTATGGCACAGCCGCTTTTTATTTTCATATAATTTGACTTTCATAGAAACGACCTGATGGTCGTTCTGCTTACAGATATAATTATACGCTTTGTTAGTGAAACGCCACATGAATCCAAGTGGAGTACGGATGCGGTGTTCTAAGCGTTTCTTTTTGCATCCAGGCATTAAAAGCGCTTACTCATCATTATCAGTCAGCAGTCATCAAAGCAGGCAGGCAAACAGCCAGCAGCAGCAGATCAGCTGATTCGTGGCAGCGGCAGAGAGACAGACATTACCATTAGGCTGACAATTAAGTTTAGACTCGCGCGGAAAGCCGGCAGCCAGCAACTGGGCCACTACTCTTTGTAAGCAGAGATCTAACGATCGTGATTGCCAAACAACAGAAAACAAGCAGCCAGCCAGAGAGACGACTGGTCTGGCCAGACGTAAAAGCCCAGTTCAGTTCAGGCCAGGTCAGCAGGCCAGGCGAGACGGAGACGGAGACGGAGACGGAGGCGGAGACAGAGACAGAGAAGACGGCCACAAACAGAAACAGAAACAGAAACAGAAACAGAAAACTGAGCCATTTGGGTGCTTGGCAACAAACAACAACAGCTCAGAGACAACAAAACACTTCAATTCGTAATAGACAAAAATTGAGAAAACCTTCAACTAGCTATGGATGAAGCCGCACTGCAAATGCTCTAACTAAATCAAATCGACACTTGCTGAGTAAATCTTAAAAATATTTACTTGAGATTTAAATATTTCAGCATAAATGAGGTCTCTGGCCTATAAAGCTGATCTTTCATAAAAAACGAAGCATAATTACTGTAACTAAGATAAGAATAGGGAAGGTTGAGCATGAAGTGATTAGAATTAAATTAAAGTCAACTAAGTGTGCTCTAGTTGATGCAACTAGAGTCTAACTTATTATCCCTCACACAATTTCATAAGTAAACTTTTCGATTTGCTTCTTTTTTAATCGATAATAAATCGTTGCTCAACTAATTTGGCTGCCTGAAATAAAGGGTATTCAGGAAAAAGATTCGGTGAATGTGCTGACAAATAGATAGATGGATATATAGAAAGATAGATACATACCTATATGTATATATTTATATATATATACGGAGACAGAGACAGAGACTGACAGACAGAGATGGAGATGGCGATGGAGATGGAGAGACAGATTGAGAGACTGACACTTGTTGGAGCACAGAGCCGTAACGGTTTCTCAAAACAACAAAAAAAAATCAAGTTGGGCGACTTGCAAAAGTGTCTTTCATAAATCAGTCAACGGCTCTGGCTAACAGCTAGCTACCAGCTAGCAGCTCCGTCAGCTGTCAGTCGAGAGATCATTTTTGGTCGCTTGGGTTCGGTTCAGCGCGGTAATTATGTCTCTTCTCGCTGGAGTACTCATATGTGTGTCATTATGATCCAAGAGCAGGCAGCAACAGCGACAACAATCATAATGATTATGTTGACGGTGATGATGATGATGGTGATGATGATGATGATGATGACAATAACAACAGCTACAGAGACTTGGCAGACTTGGCGGCTCTGGGGTAAAAGTTTGTTGGCCCTCAAGTGCCGCCTGGCTGAGACATTTGGCTGACTTTCCGTTTTTGGCCATATTTGATTTGCTGCTGTTGCCAACCGTTTTGGAACGGGCCAACTGCGACGGCAGCCGCTGGCTCTGTCTCTGCTGCCGCCGCTGCTGCTGAGTCAGCGCTTTTAATTGTTGCCAAAAGCGGAAAAGTTTTGCAAGTGAAAAGTAGGCAATGAAAAAGTCATTTGGAAAATTGACAATCAGCAAACGAAATTTACAAATTCGTTGCTAGCGGAACGCACAGCACTGTAAATATTAATAATGGGCGTACAGTAAAAACTAAAATAATAAAAAAAGATTATGACAAAGGGCCATAAAATATTAAATTAAATTAATATTAGAATGTTAAGTAGAAGTAAAAGCTAATAAAATATTTATAAAATTTAAAAAAAATTAATAATTAAATTAAGAAAAACTAAAATAAAATATAATAAAACATTAACAAAAGGCAATTTAACGTTTATCAAACTATGATATTTTAATTAAATTATGATGATAATTTGATTAAAGAATACAATTTTATACAGATTATTAAAATTGAAGAATTGTTAAATAAATAAAATAAAGAAATAAAAATTCAAAACAAAATAATATATTAAAATAAATATATTTTAAAATCATACAAAAAACAACTAAGCTAATTAGATTTAAAACAAACAAAAAAGATTAAATTTTTTATTCTAAAAACAAAGAATATTATGGTAAAAAATGGTAAAAGAAAAAAATACTAAAATTAAATTGGATAATATATTTTGTAACTAAATTACTAAAAATAAATATAAAACACAAATAAAATAATTATACTTAAGCCATAATATAGTACAGTAAGTAATATAAATATAGAAATAGCTGAAAAATCGAACAAGATTTGAAATTCATCTTAGCTTAGCTAAAAATCGAATACTAAATTATCTGTTCATAAATATAAAAAACTTTTATTATAAAAAACTTTTTATTAAAGAGAAAAAAGTATTAAAATTCTATTAGCAAATACAACTGCTTAAGCTTTTCATTTATTTTCCGGTCAATTTCCTTAAAGTCGCCTGCCTGCAAGTGAGCTAATCGATCGGGGAAAACAGAAAAAGAAGGAGAACGTAGCGAAAGAGTTTGGCGAATTGCAATTTATAGACGCTGCCAAAGCATCGAGAACACGAACGTGTTTACGCCACACCAAGTTGGCGAGTGAGTACGTGTGTCCGTAAGATACAGATACATGCAAGTACGAGCTGAGTACGTGTATCTGCAAGATACAGACACATGCAAGCATTCAGCTCATTAGCTCGTTGCGGCTGACGTTGCTGTGGCTGCTGCTGCTGTCAGTTGCAACTTCAATTGAAACGCATTTAATTAGTTTGTGCCTAATTTATGCTGCCATCGACATCGACATCGACATCAACATCAACATCAGCGCGCAGCATAGAAGCTGTCAGCGAGGCGCCTACCCAAAAGAGGTTCATACGAATTCTCAACTAGAATGTTTTTTTTTGTCTTACAATTCAATATTTTTGTATTTCGGGAAACCATTCCAAATGTGAATTTAAAGCAAATTAGTTTCGTTATAAATAAGTTTTTGCCAACACTATAAAGTAGACATAATCTTGATCGAGATCAATAGCCCAGTCACTCCAATCCTCAACATCAATCGATTCGTCCGTCTATGAGTTCAGCAGTTTCGAACTTAAGAACACTTAAGAGGTAGAGTCTACAAAATTTAAACGATTTGGCTCTTATAGGATGAGCAACTATAGTTTTTACCTTAAGGAACTTTCATTCAAATTGAAAAATATATTTATTTGTGCTCTATTATAAGTTTCTCTGAATTCAAATGCATCAAGTAAATATATAAATATCTATATATATCCGTACCCATCAGTTGAGCGTATCTTGAATTCATGTTAACTTGTTTGGCTAAAAACTAAGATATTATTTATCAAATATCTTATACACAAAAATCAGAAGAATTCAATATACTCTCAATTGTAGTGTATTAACTCCTCGTCTATTCCCTAGCTACATATCTAGCTCCTATTTATTATGTTTTTTATGGCAGACATTAGAGCAAATCAACGAATGACGGTGACAGTTACTGGTCTGTCATTTAGGTATAGGGGTACGAAATGCTGAAAGACGTGGAAGTGCATTGGCATGTGAGCGCGGAAAGAGGGGCCCGGCTTGTAGGTCAGTTCTCTGTGCCGGCATTTGCCTTATGGCCCGGCCTGGTCATAAGTAGCATAAGGGGCGACATCAACAACGGCAAAAGACGCCACAATTAATTTAATTAACGAACGTGCCTCGAACGCCTTCTAATTGACGTTTGTGGCATTTGTTAAATTGTTTAAAGAACAAAATGGAACCAAAAGCAGCAGCAGAAACAGAAGCAGAGAGGCGAACAAGATGTGGGCGTCATGATGTCTTTTGCTTTACTTATTTTGATGGCATTGCGGGGCTTCGCAG